GTCTTGTGTGCTCTTGTGCTCTATTGTACTGCACTGTGCTACGGTCTTGTGTGCTCTTGTGCTCTGTTGTACTGCACTGTGCTACGGTCTTGTGTGCTCTTGTGCTCTGTTGTACTGCCTCTCTCTCCGGCAGGGGAGGTCTGTACCTTGTAGAGGTCGAGGGGCATGAGGAGGAAGATGAAGATGTCGGACAGTGCCATGCTGCAGAGGTACAGGTAGGTGGTGCTGCGCAGGTCGGGGTACAGCCACACCACCAGGATGGTCAGCACGTTGCCGACCAGGCCCACCAGGAAGAGCAGCGTGCACACCGCCGTGACCGCGCACAACTCGGGCACGGAGAACAGCGCCTCCTCCTGCCCTGCTGGCCACCACTCGCTCCCGTTGCCCCCGGCCGCCCCGCAGCCCTCGCTGCCCTCTCCCGCTCCTGGGCACAGGAGCAGCTCCTCCGAGGAATTCCTCTCCCCGTCTCCGCTGAACAGCACGTCCATCTCTCCCGCGGGGTCAGGCTCGGGGATGTTGCGGGTCCTTGTCCTGTCAGCGAGTTGTTGGGCTGCTCGCTTTTTCTCCACTTCCTTGAAGCAGGAGGGCTGCTTCCTCTTGCTCAGATCTGCGCACACAGTCTGCCCAAGGTGTGCTTAAAGAGTGCGCAAGGTGTGTTTAAAGAGTGCCCAAAGTGTGCTCACAGAGTGCCTAAAGTGTGTTTAAAGAGTTTAAAGTGTGCCCAAGGTGGTCTCCGTGCGGGCTGGGCCTGGTCTGGGCAGTGGGTGTTGCCCAGACCTGACCACCCCCCCTGGGCGGAGTTAGAACACCTATTCTACTGTGTCCCAGGACACAGTCCATCAGACAGGCCTTGCTCACACCTGAAGAAGGCTCCACAGCTGAAACGTTGTTTTCTTTTTTCTCTTTTCAGCATGGAATAAACCTATTGCTTGTTCCTCTCAGGTCATGGTCACCGAGACCGCCCCACAAGGCTTGCAGAGGGTCAGTGTCGTGCTGATTAGAACTGCCCCTGGCACCGCAGCCCAGAACCAGCCCGCACCGGGCCTTCAGAGCTGGTCCAGTTTGTGTTGGTGAGAGGGGGAAGAGAAGGAGTGTTTGTTGTCAAGTCCTCCTGCAGCATTCTGGGGTACAGGGACAGACACCCCCAGAGAAGTACTGAGATTTGATCTATACAGTACCTGTACTCAGGGCACTTCACAATCCTACAGCCAGGCCAATGTCACACTCACACTGTACTCTACTATACTGGAGTCCACTCCATTGTATTACTCTGCACTTTACTGTACTGTATCAGACTGTGCAGCACTTTACTGTACTGTATCAGACTGTACTGCACCTTATTATACTGTACTGCACTTTACTGTACTGTATCAGACTGTACTGCACCTTATTATACTGTACTG